TGGAATTAAATAGCGTTCAATGCACAGTACTGTTGCTTCTTCAATGCACGTTCTGGCTTGGCTCATTCTGATTCTGCTTCGCTGCTGATGAACTATTTTGTTTCTGTATCAGAGTGTTTTACGCGCAGTTCTGTTCATCAAGCTTCAGCATGTGCGTGAGTTGATCATCTGATCTTGACGTTCTGATTCAGCAACTTCTGATGCTGGTGTATCAAATCAAATTCTGATGCTGAATAAGTGATCTTGCTTATTTTAATCAGCGTATCTGCAAGTCAGAGCATAGTAATTTTAGGCAGCATATAATTCAATCATGAAACATTTAAATGCTATATCTTTTCACTTTGTTATCATCAAAACTCAAATATAGGGTAGTAGATTCAAACATTGTTCTAACAATGCATAGTTCTTATTTATATTAATTGAGCTAGGAGAATTTAGATGTTGAACATGCTGAAAAAGTTAGGTTAGAATTTAGGGCCACTGAAATTCTCTCTGGTCTTTGAGAGTTAGATCAAGTTTTTTATATCATTAGAATCGTGGTTTAAAGCTTTATAAATTTCATGTTGTGAGTTTTTTATTTGATGCAAAGAATAGAGAGAATAAGATTTGCATTGCAGAGGCGCGCGCATGTGTTCAGAGGACAGGGATGAAATGTAGCTTGGGCCAGGCGCCTTGGGCCTCCTACTTTTGACACCACTCATTCTGTTATTTTCACCCCCTTGGCCCATTTCTTTTATTTTTCATATTTTCTTGCATGTTTCACATTTCTGACTTTTATTTATTTTTTTCTAACATTAAAAATCATAAAAATATTTTCTCTATTTTTTGCATTTTTTCATATTTTTTTATTTTTATTTTTTGCATAAAAAATAATTATTAGGTTAATATACTTATATTTTCTTAAATAAAACTTGTAAATATTATAAAAATATTATATATTTTTATTTTTATTATTTATACACTTAAATTAATATTTTCATACAATATTTAATTTTTTTAAACATTTTTGTATATATATATTATTATTTTCTTGTACATAAAAATGAATAAATAAATAATATAAAGCATATTTTCTATTAAACAAAAATTAGGATTTTCACCCTTTCCAAAAATAATCATTTTTATTTTCTTATTTTTAAGACTTGAATAAATTTATTTTACATACATAAAATAAATACAAAAATATTTGTGCATATTTACATTTTATTGTACATTTAAATAATTGTTCATTTATTTATTGTTGTATATTTCAATTTGGTTGTAATAATAATTTTAGGGTTTTATTTTGAGCAATACCCCCTTATTCAAACTTGTACCCCCCTTCCCATAATATTGTTGTAATAGTCTAGATTTACATTATGCAATTTATCGTATTATATGCATGATAGTAAGATTAGGGTTTTGTATGCAAAGACCATAAATCAAACAAATAGCATGACCTAAATACAAGACAAAAATGAATGAAAAATGACAACACAATGCAGACAAGCACCCCTAGGGTTTCATCCACTTTGTTGCCTTAAAACATGGCCATGGTATGCATGCTAGGTATCTTAGCAAAATAAAACAAAACAAAAGATCATAGTCCCTCGATGACGCTATCTTGGTTGCCTAAACAAAAATGATCTAGTCCCTCAAAAAACTTGCTAAGATACTTGGCAATATTGTTATCATGGCCATACGGTGACCCACGCCCGTCCCGTTTAACATCCAAAGATAGGGTTGTTTACCAAATGCAATGGTAAAACAACAATATCAAAGGAATAAAAATGTATAGGAAAGATCTTTGAGTATGGTAGACAACTCCTAGTTACTTGATCAATTCGCAAAGCATCCTTGCTATTTTCAAACTATCACACACATTTCAACACAATTTCAAAACATTTCCAAACAAACTTTCAAACATTGAAACATTTTTCAAAAGACAAACACCTTTGTATACATTCAAACAAGAATCATTACAAAGGTTGCCTAGACAAAGGTCTCTTTTCAAAATACTTTCAAAACCACACACAAAAGCACCATTTCAAACAATTGAAAAGCAAAAGCAAGTGATCTAAAACAAGTAACTAAGAGCCCATGGAAAAACATGGATGAAAAGGGTGCTAGCACCTTCCCTTTTCATAATCTACCCCCCGAACCCAAAAACAATCTCAAAGGTGTTTCCTGTGCTTTTTTACCTTTCCTTTTGGATAAAATAAGTCGGTGGCGACTCTTGCTAAATCGAAACATTTGCGAACACAAAACGCAAAACCTCAAGTAAGTTCTCCCACCGCATCACAACAGGGAAGCACTTTTTCAGATTGTTTGGTGCCCTAATCTCATCAGGGGTAGGTCCCATGAGAGAATACACAGTTTTGTTACAGTTAAATGGAAGCAATAGGTTATAACGGCAAGTAGCAATGTTGTGTGTTGGGTTTGATTCCAACATAAAGGTTTGTCCATCAACAGTAAGGAAATCAGGCATGATGGAAATTAGCTCAACTACGCGAGGAGCGTTAATGTGTTCAACAACTTGGTTTGGAGACGCCGTGGAAGGTAAATGGAAGCTTTGAATAAAAATGAAGGTGGGTTTGTTTGCTGAGTTTGGAAGCTAGAGATTAAGGATGCAAAGAAAGCGTAAAGATAAAATGAAGGAATGAAAGGGGTATTTATACCACCAAAGAAACCAAACATTTGGGAAGAAAGTGAGAAAATTTGTGGCTACACGACAAGCACGTGTCAAACAGATGGCAAATGAGGTGAGGAAGTTGGTAAGTTGGAGGCCACGATTGTCCTAGGAAGTTGAAGCTACAAAGTAGGGAAGTGGCGGTGTGATCGTTGATGTAACTTTTGAAGAATAAGGTCATGATTGCAATGACGTCACTTCACACTAAGAGAAAAGGATTAAAATGTTCGTTTATGCTCTTTTAGTCAAAAAAGATATTTTTGGGGGACAATTTGTTGGCTAGGATTTTCATAAAGAGAGAAATCCAAACCAAAAGTCAAAAAAGTTATTTTAAGAGCATTAAAGAGCATTAAATTATGAGGAGTTGACTACATAAGCATGTCGACCATGGATGATTTCATAGGTAGTCGACCAATGTTTCGTAAGTGCAGTCGATCAGAGAAGGGTTCATGACGAATGGATTGGGCCCAAGGGAGGTGAGAAGTCCACAAGGTTTAAAAGACCCATAAGCACCTAAACTGCAAAGGCGAAACGTTATGGAGGGAGAACGTGGGTTTGACAGTTACAATAGAGAACGTGGGTTCAACCGCAAGAATGGAGAACGTAAGTTCATAAAGAGAAATTACAATAGAGAACATGGTTTTGTGAAGGAAAGTTATGAAGAACACATGACATGCAAGGGAACGAAACCCACTTAGAAAGTAGTTATTTATGTGTATTATAAATAAAGCACTTAGTGCACTTTGTAAGAGGTCAAACTTTTCACATTCTTGCACGCTAGTCACTCAGAGTAACCAAGCGAACGAGCGAAATGAGTCAGGCAAATGCAATGTATGTTTGAACCAACCTATTTTCAACCTTTCTTTAATATTATGTCATTATCTTTCACAACTTAAAATGCTTTTTGTCTTGTTTACTTTGTCTTTTTGTCATTATCTTTTACAATTTAAAACGTTTGACTCTCAGTCGAATGCACCCTTTTTGAAAATACTTTGACTACGCACGCGAACTGAAACATTGTACTGAAATTCCCTAGTTGATCTCGCATTTCAAGAGACCATCGTTGTTTATCAAATCTGAAGGTAAACAACTATATCCCTTAAATAAGATTCTCAAAAATTATTATTTTTTGTCTTTTATAAAAAAAATCAAATTTTGAATTAAATTAATATTTTATTTATCAACTTATCTCTAATAATGTTAATTTTTTTTATTTATAGTAATATTCTATGTAAAAATAATAACAATAACCAACAAATTTAATAATACTACAAAATCAAGCATTCTTAATTTCAGTATTTTCTCCAATAAATATTTATATTGTTTGGTCTTTGAATTTATTGCTTGGTATGTGGAAATTTCAATTACTTTGACTAGTTTAAAAATATGTCCTTTAGGTCAAACCCATAAATTCAGGTTTTTGAAAAAGAAAAAAGTTAATGTATATTTATATAAAAGCAACCTAAGTTTTTTTAGTGTATCATTTTTCATTTTCTTTTTCATGTAATTTAGTTTCATTTTAATACTTGAAAAGATGTTAAAAAATTTCTCATCCACCAAAACCAACCAGTCAAGTAACATCTGACTCCACCAAATCAACCTATACTCAAAAGTCTTGAAACCAATTTTCTATTATTTTTTCTCTCTTTTTTGTGATGGACCTTCCTCAGAAGAATGTCTATGCCACGTGTCAGACACTGGTGCATTCATGCAACGAAACTTTGAAAAACTTTTCAAAACTGAATCAGAAGAGGCTCAAGTAAACAATAATACTATAAAACTGTTACTAAAAAACACTGTCACATGATTATTTGTTTAGGTACTACTGGTGAAGATTGTAGTGGAAACTGGGTAGGTCCCACATTTGTGTGGACACATTTTTCATACGCAAACAACTCTAATCTTAGTTTCTTTTGTTTTGTTGTTTCCTTTTAACAAGTTTCTGATTCTCATTCTACACACTACTCTTCTTCTGTTACTTCATACTCTTTTCATGAATTTTTTTTTTTGTTTTCTTCACAAGCCTTCATTGATTTCAAAGCTAGATAGAACTCCTTGGATTTTTTCAAACTTTGAAGTTAGCTTCAAAAAGCATTTTATTAACTTTTTTTTCATCACTGTTGTTAAGTTGATTCTTATTCGTAGATACATTATTTGATTCTTATTCTTATAGGTGGTTTCTTTTGGCTCTAAATCATGATTAATATTCGAGATGAAAGATTATATTTAACGCAGTGCTAGATATTGGAGCTTCTTTTGTATTTTCTCAACAACTTGTTGTTGTAATTCTCTTCTGTTTTTCACCTAAGACAGTGAATTTTGGAGTCGAGAGATGAACGAGAAAGAGAGTTTGTTTTCTTCAACAAGTGATTGGATGAGAATACCAGTTTTAACTTTCTTCAAAGATGCTAGGTATACCATTTTTATCTTTGATCAGGTTTTTTTCATCTGCAAATGATTTAGAAGTTTCAGTTCTATCAAGAGTTATGAACTTTATATCAATTTTTTAATCGGTTGTTTATGATGTTCTTTCTATATGTAGGTAGATTTAATTATTGATTTTTCTTCTTACTGCAGATTAGTATTTAAATCAGATAGTCTTGGTAGGGAGATACTGTCAATTGCATTGCCTGCTGCAATGGCTTTGACAGCTGACCCTATTGCTTCACTTGTTGACACTGCATTCATTGGCCAAATAGGTATTTTATCACCGTATGGTTACGTTTAGTAACTTGATTTTCTCAAATTATTATCTGTGTTGACGTGTTAGTTAGTGTAATTAACTTTAGTGTTGATGATTAATGGTCCTTACAGGTCCAGTGGAGCTTGCTGCTGTAGGAGTTTCCATAGCTCTCTTCAATCAAGCATCGCGAATTGCAATATTTCCACTTGTTAGTGTCACAACCTCTTTTGTGGCAGAGGAAGATACCCTCAGTGGAGTGAACTCGCAGGTAGAAGAGAACGGATGCTTGGAAGCCGCGACACCTCCGGATGCTGAAACCAAAGAGTTCTTACCGCAGAAAAGTATTGGTTTTCTACTTTTCTGATTAGTTTTCCAAACCTTGTTTCTCAATTTAGTACATTATACACACTTCAACTCCTGATTAGTAACGTATGATGTGTTCATAACTCAGATTTGAATGCTGAAAGCTTTAACTTAGTTAAGAATGTTGAACATAAGAGAAGGCATATTCCTTCAGCTTCGTCGGCGTTGTTTATTGGAGGTATCCTTGGAATCATCCAGGCAATATTACTTATTTCTGCAGCAAAACCTTTATTGAGCTTCATGGGAGTAACTTCTGTAAGTACTTTTACTTAAATATCAAGAGACTTGCTTATTTTGAAGTGATTCGGCCTCGTGTTGCCATTTGATGACTGCGAATTAAAACGGATTATTTATACAGGATTCTCCTATGCTACATCCTGCACAGCAATACCTGAAATTGAGGTCTCTTGGTGCTCCTGCGGTTCTTCTTTCATTAGCAATGCAGGGAGTTTTTCGAGGATTTAAAGACACGAAAACTCCTTTATATGCCACTGGTACGAATGCCTCGACAAATTTAAATTGTTCTTTGCCATTGTATGAGTCTAATTACTATATGTTGTTTGTAATCTAGTGGCAGGAGACGCGACCAACATAGCATTAGATCCTCTATTCATCTTTGTTTTCCGAATGGGTGTCACTGGTGCAGCCATTGCACATGTTATATCTCAGTATGTTTAACTTGGTTATGATTCAAATCCTCTTACTATACTCTTTTTTTAATACGGATTTGAGGAATACTTTATGCAGAACTATCGTGTCCGTTGTCTCTTTACTCGTTCATCTCTTATCAATGTAGGTATCTAATTTCAGCTATACTCTTGTGGAGTTTGATGAAACAAGTTGATCTTATACCTCCGAGCATGAAGCATCTTCAATTTGACCGATTTCTAAAAAATGGTAAAGGGTTTCGTCATTAAAATTGTTTACTAGATATATTTCACAGGATACTAAACAAATAAATTGTGCGTTATTGTCACGCAGGTTTTCTGTTACTAATGAGAGTCATTGCTGTAACATTCTGCGTGACACTCGCCGCATCATTAGCTGCACGCCACGGATCAACATCTATGGCAGCATTTCAAGTCTGTCTGCAGGTTTGGTTGGCAGTGTCTCTTCTTGCTGACGGTTTGGCTGTTGCCGGGCAGGTGAGATATGATCGACGACTCCCTCCACTAAAATTCCTTGTCTTGTTTAATCATAGATAGAATATCAAACACTTACACTTGATTTTTTTTGTTTTTGTATTAGGCCATTCTCGCAGGTGCATTTGCTAACAAGGACTATGACAAGGCCACAGCAACTGCATCTCGAGTATTGCAGGTATTCTTTTTGAAGCATGAGGATAAACGTTGCTTGCGAATATCTTTTTGAATACGTTGAACTGTAAATGTGATAGACAGTTATAATGCAGATGGGTTTAGTTCTAGGAGCGGCACTTGCATTCATTCTTGGAACAGGACTGCACTTTGGAGCTAAAGTTTTTACAAAAGACGCGAATGTCCTCCGTCTCATTAGAATTGGGATACCGGTAGTTTATTAGTGTTCAAATTTGGAAAGGATTTATTGGTAATCTATATTTTCAACGTCCTAAAGAGAGTAACTGAACTTACATTCATATTAACTCTCTTTCCAGTTTGTTGCACTCACTCAGCCCCTAAACTCTTTGGCATTTGTATTTGATGGTGTCAACTTTGGTGCATCTGATTTTGCATATTCAGCCTTCTCAATGGTATGTATCTTCTTCCATGTTTTAATACACACTTATCTTAAAGAATCATTGAAAATGATGTAGTTTCAATACATGTAGCACTTATACTTCACATCAAAGTCGTGTCTGGTGTTTGACACATGTCAGCTTTCAACCTCAACAAATATGATTCCATTCAATTTTCTCAAATTTTTACTTGTGTCAACGTGTCAGTATTGTGTTAGGTGTTCCTATTTGTGTTACTCCTTCATAGATTTCAGTATCTAAACTCTTCCTGCAATGTTCTGTTTCCTTGAGTAACAAGTTAACTATATACAGTTAGTGGCATTCTTCATTTTCAGGTCATAGTGGCAATTATTAGCATAATTTGTCTACTTATTTTGTCATCTTCTGCTGGATTCGTTGGAATTTGGATTGCTTTGACCATCTATATGAGTCTAAGAGCATTTGCTGGCTTCTTGAGGTAATTCTTCATACTCTTATACTTTACTTCCAAGACACTTTCCAACATTTGGATGAGTTGATTCAACCAATGAACTATGTTAATGCAGGATTGGAACTGGATCAGGACCATGGGAATTCCTTAGGAGCCAACCACATTAGGAATGCAGCATAATCATGGCTTATATTTGGCCACAATTTCATTGTGGATTTGTGGTTCACATTATTATAGGGATAAAAGTTTTTCCTAGTTCTTTTAGTCACTTGGATGAGAAATCGTTTGAAATGAATAGGCATAGGTACATGGACTATTGTATTTACTTGCTGAGGCACTGGTTCAAAACTACCTCTGCTTCAGAGTTTTTACAAAGAAATGACATGAAATATAGGATCAAACTTATAAAACAAATATATTTCAGGTACTAGTCCTTGGCGCAGATTGTTTACCAAGGGCATCAAGCATTAAATTAACAACAATAAATCTACTAACATTCTCAACGAGTTAAGCGAAAATTCAATATTTATTTTTGAAGATTACTAAAAAAAGGTTTTATTTTACTTTTATAAAATCACGTAATAAATTAAATTTGTAAAATAAAATTTCATATATTGAAGATCTTGCAAAATCTTTAATGAAATCATAACGAGAATTCAATATTTATTTTTGAAGATTAATAAAAAAAGATTTTATTTTATGTGAAAAAAAGATTTAATTTTATGTCAAAAAATCACTTAATTTTAAAATTATTACAATTTTTATGAAAATCATTTTTGAAATATAATTTTTTTAAAATATTACAATTTTAATTATATTTTGGTCTTTAATAATATATATTCATAAGATATTAAAATTAATGTTTCAATTTAGAAAAAATGAATATAAAAAAATTTATAATATTTTAAAAAACAGTTTTGTAAAATCAATTTTAAAAAATATTAAAAAAAATCTTTTAAAACTCAAACAAACTGATCTTAATATCTCTCTTGTTTTACTTTTCCTTCTAAATTAAAAATTGAATAACATTGAATAGAAAATTGAAATTTATTATATTCATTATAATTATTATTATGTTTAATTACAATTTTAATTTTTATTTAACTTATTTATGAAAATAATCCACTTATTTTATATTTAAAAAGTTTTAAGTTTTTCACATTTTTTATAATTGAATTTAAAATTTATGACATAGATGAATTGTTTATATTGCACGATTGATACATCATAATTATTCATAGATAATATTTTATATGTGATTAAAATAAAATTCAATAATTTGTACAAATTTAACGGCTATAGTTAACTTACATTTAAAATATTTTTACAATGTTAATGCATGAGTATTATTTATGGCACTTCCATAGTTTTGGTCGTGGAATTGAAACCTTATCATATTGAAAAAGATTAAATTATTGTATTGGACTGCTTCCCAGAACTATATACTTACTTTCTTTTCTTTTTCATCGTAACATGATAATCTCGACTTTCTACTTCTAACGGGCCTAGAAAAGAATATTTCCTTTATCATGTTTGAGATTCTAGTGCTTCTAAAAACCTTTGACATAATCTTTGTTTTCTAAACACAATTTTTCTCGGCTCAAGATGAAAACATTTGGCTTAAATATTAGTTTGGGGATTTTTTCGACCCTTATAGCTTTATAGTCATCTCTGGTGAAATTTCGTTTTTACTCTTCAGAATTCAGAGAGATATCTTTGAACACACCATATTTTATTTTTTTGCGGTATTTTCGGAGATGTATTTTCGAAATACTTTTTTTTTAAAATCAGGAGTGTTTAGGAGATATGTCTCCGAATTAGGGCATTGTAGTAATAAATAACCACCCTCATTCTCATTTCTAACTATCAAACACCCCAAATACCTCCAAAATCTCTACTTTTAAAACTCATTGAAGTTTATCTACTCATTTGCACTTGTTACAACTCACTCTAACTCTCAATTTCAACAACTCTAAAAACTACAAATTTGAGTAAGTTCTCCAATTCCTTTTAATCTTTGCATTTGTATTTTAAGTTGTTTAGATTATGTATAACCTATAAAAAACTTGCTTTTATGTGTAACAATTGGATTTTGGTGTAAAAAAGGTGTTGTTAGGTTGAAGATTTGGGTATGGAAGTCGTAGGTTATTTCGAAGATACATCTCTGAAAACCCCTCTGAGAAGTTTCGGAGATGCATCTCTGAAAATATGTCTGAGTTGATTTTTTATTTATTTTCAAACATGTTCTTGTTCGTTCAATTAACGATTATTTGTTTTTTCAGAAAAATGGCTGAGAACCCCAACAGATTGAGACTTGGTAGGCCTAGCAAAACTATATTTGCTCGACGAGAGAGAGCTGAGAAGATTACGATTCGTCGAGGACGCGGTCGGGTACCACGGGAGAAAGTGGAGGGAACATTGAGTTCTACTCCGAGGATTTGCCTTTCATGTGCGTCCTCGTATATGGATTACGAGGAGGAACTCGAGAGGGTTCAGGTTCCAGAGAGATGCATGCGAAAGTTTGGCTATGTGGAGACCATACCCAGATCTCCCTTTCAGGCTGCTCCTAACACCATTGTTCGCCGGAAGCTCAATGACATCTTCCAGAATTGGAAGAATCATATGGTGCCAGAGGAGGCTCAGATGATGCACGCATGTTGGCATTGTGAAGAGGGATGTGTCACATGGTTCTACACAGTGTCATACCCTATTATAACACCGGATGCTCCTGGACGTCCACATAAGTCAGCTCATGAGCAAATCTTAGAGAACCAGCAGACCGAGGATGACCATGTCTTTGATCTCTTATTGATCTATCAGCGGATATAGATGATTGGGCAGGAGACATTGGACATATGTATCATTGACAGGGACAGGGAGTGAGGATCAGACATACGTCGTAGGCTATACCTTTTTTATTTCAGAATAATTTATGAATAATTATTGTATCTTTTTATTTTAAACAATTTATTTTGTCTATTATCGTTTTCAATTTCTTATCATTTTTCATTTTTGTTTTTACTATCGTTTTTAATCTAATTATTTATCTACAAATTGATGTTTTTAAAAAAATCACTGTCCAGGATTTCAGAGATGTATCTCCGAACGCACATCAAATCAAGTTGTTTCGGAGATACATCTTCGAAACTATCATTGCATACTAAACAAATTATTTTTAGAGATATATCTCTGAAACACCTTAATTTGAGTGCGTTCAAAAATACATTTCTAAAAGATATTTTCGAATTTTCAAAAAAATTTCTCCATTTAATGTCAAAAAATTCCCCTTACAGATTTGGCCACCAAAGTATTCTATTTGTTGCGGACATATGGTGGGTCCATGAAAAAAAAAAACAAATTGTTTCTCTAATGAGCCCATTTCCACATATCAACTTTCTCCATAACAAATTCCTTCAATGCTTGCTTTAATAATACTCAGACATGCCACACAAAATAGTGTTTCATCCATTGGAACTCTCTCGATTTTCCCAACTTTATTAATAATGTTGATGGTAGTTGCAATGGCATGCCAACCCACACTTATTTTGGTATAATCATTCACAACTCTTCTAAGGCATGGCCTTCATCCCTAGCTCTATAGTTATCTTCCAAGCAGAGCTCTATGCCATCTACCATGGTCTTTCGCTAACCAAGACTATGGGTTTTAAGTGACTCAATTCGCTACACATATTCATCGCACATTATAAGTCTCATTGATCCCCTCCTCTTATAAGTACTATGTTGTAATGATTTAGAACACTAAGGATATGTTACAATAAAATAGACACTTCAAAGTTATCTATATCCTTCAGAAAGACAACAATAAAGATGATGGATTCATAATCAAATTTAAAATTTTTTTCCAAATAAATATTATGGTGCATACTTCTCCTCCATTTTAAAATTAGTTTTTTTTTTTAATGAATTTAATTGAAATATACTAATGATATAAAAAAATTTTACACCAACAATTAATCACGACTGTTAATTTGTTAAAAATATTTAATTTTTATTTTAAATTTTTATAACGTATTATAATTGAGTGATTATAATATAAATTTTACACTAACACTAGATAATGATTAAACCCTTTTTATTTCTCTAGCTCTGTAACCCAAAAAATATGAACTAATTATAACTACATTTAAAAATAATTGTTCATTTTGTTTTTTATTTATTTTTGGTATAAGTGGAAAAATGAAAAGAAAAAAAAAGCAGGAAATTATCTTATTTTTTATTTGTATTATTTTATTTTAAATAATTATGTTTGAAATTTATCTTTTATTTTTAATTTATTTATTTTAGAAAAATTAAATGTTAATTTCAATTTATCTAGATGAAAAATGTGTCTCTCAGAACCTTTATTTACTCAAATTTATAGAATAATCACATAATCAATCTATAAAAGCAATTTACTATGAGTTTGAAAATTTTCTGTTAGAGTAACTCAAAGTCATATTTTATCACACACTTTCGAGGTCTTTCAAAATTGTAATGGAGTTTACGTTAATGTATGATATTTTTAGGAAAGCAGGCTTAAATCTTTGCATTTAGATATCTAATTTTTCTTATGTTAACATGTTCTTTTCATCTTAATCTTTTACATGGTCAATTGGTACTATAGATAATTCAATGTGTTGGCCTTTTCATACATTTTTCACAATTTTTTCGAAAAGTCATTTTAACTTCTTATTTTGTTTATTTTTATTTTCTTTTTCTTTATTTTGACAATTTTTTTCTCTAGCACCGCAATCCCAAACTTAAACATTGCTAACTTCCAATAGCAACCACAAACTCATACTTTTACATTGGACAAGAACAATAATTTTCTACCTAACTCTAAAGAGGGTGAAAAGATTTAATCTTTCAGTTCAAATGGCTATATTATAAGCCAAGTCACCTCAATAATGGCTATAGTTCAAAGTGGTTAAACAACAGATATAAACATTTCATACATGTTGGCTTAAAAAGGCTCAGAGTTTCTACAAACAAGTGCCTCCGTATGTATTTTATTAGACCAATAGACTAAGTAGAAATAAACAAATTCTAGAAAATAACAAATGTTCGGATACTTTCATAAGAAGTAAAAGTAAACAATAATTTTTTTTTGCTCAAGCCTTACTAACTGAGGCATCTCAAGATAGAGTACAATTCATTTAGATATCCCTTTTCTTCGTCAAATATCAATCAACATCAATAAATTCTATGATGATCAACTCTTCTTATTCATTATTTTACGGTGACTTATTTTCTTTTTGTTTTTCATATGTCACTTGTAAGGTAGAAAATCATTTACTACAAGAAACAAAAATCACAAACTCATTTATTAAGTAAAGCATTGAGAAGTAGTACAAAAGGGGAAGCACATTCATTAAACTAGCTACTACTCTTGATTAGATTGAAGTACAAAAGGGAAATGCTAAAAATAAAA